AGTAAAAACCCACACAATTGTAAATGCACATATATGCAACTGTAAACACACCTATTTTCAGCCTTGGCCCATGGGGAAGGACCACAAACGTGTAAAATGAGAGCTCTGAAGCCAAATTCAAGTGAAGAGATAAGCATTTTGCTTGTGTCGTTACCAATACAGGCATCTAAGTATCTAAACCAGTTTCTCTACCAGGTCAGTTCGTGCTTTGAAGTGCATGCCTTTCAAAACATATCCACGGTCTTTCTGTGAAGGCTAATGATAATTTTATCTCTTCTGAGCCTTGCAGTAATAAATGCTGACAGTCCCAGATGCCAGGTCCTTGGTGAGAGCATCTGTTTGTTTATTCAGGATTAAGTTAAACTACTTAGCTGCCATTATGGTAAATCCACCTCTCCTACAGACCTTCTTAAGAATACTGAAGAAAATAATGAAACATCACATACTGCTGCGAGATCAATCACACTCAGCAGACTAAGAAACCACTGACAATTAATTCTTGGTATGGAGGGGTGAATAGGCTGTACCAAACATTCCCCCAAATAAGAAAAGAGAAAAGCCATGTTACGCTTTGTCTTGATTTCATCACATCACACCTTGATGCTGTGGCAGACTTTCAACAAGGGCATGTAAAGCTTGATCCTGCAATCTTTGTCCAAAAAGAAATGAGCTTAGATACCTAAATAATTATGCTCAATCATATGCAAAAGAACTGGATGTATTTTTTTTTTCTGAGGCAATTCACAGTAGCCCTTTTACCACCTTTCAATATTTGAAATGTAAAGACTTTTGGATTTAATTTCCTCTTCCTTAAGGATGTGAAAGAAATATTGTGCTCTTACTGACACTAATGCAATTTGAGACTCTAAATTACCAGACCTGTAACAAAGATGCCATTCCTTCATACTGGCAAAATATTCTCATGTATCACATAAAGATCTAAAGCTCTGAGTGCATCAACATGTAGTAAGATCACAAGATGTATATTAAGCAAAGAGCAAAGAACACATTTGAAAAGGGGATTTTCAAGGTATGCTGCACTGTAATCTATTTAATTTAAAAATCTGAAAATGGCAGAGCTAGCTTTCATTCTGCTACTTAAGGCAGCTGTAAGATTAGTCTTTAATTACTAAATGATGGTGCAAAAGCATGAGACCTGCTCACCAGCCGTGTCTGCTGCAGAAGCAGAAACAGTGTCTGGCTACACCTCAGAGTACGGGGGGAGGAGGCAAGAGCATCTGCATGCTCCTGGAGTGGGTTGGAGTGACTTTAAGTGTACAAATAAGATTTTGGAGGCTTTTCTTCTCATGAATAGGCAGTGGCGCTTTATGGATACAGCAGCATGAGCTGAAGGATTAAGAGAATTTAGGTTTAATAAGACTGCATCTAGGACCTGGCTAGGGTACCCTGACTGCACAGGCACCTTCTGCATTGCTGCTCTTGCTCCCCTCTGCCTTGTCCCATCAGTGCTTCTCCACCCGGAGCTGGAGACGATGTGGGAGGTGTGGCCAGCTGGCTCACAGCAGCTGCAAACACCCAGCTGGAGGTGGGTGGCAAGACCACCAGAGGCTGCATCTTTGTGGTTGGGAACTCATCCTGAGCTCTCCCCATCAAAGGAGAGAAACCACTGCACTGATGTCACTCGGCAAACAGCTTCTAAAAAACCTCCCGTGCTGTGCAGAGACTGAGCAGACTTTGTGCATCCTGAAGCAAAAGCTGCACTGGCCCAGAGTGATTGGTCCCCAGAGGAAAGGCTCTGCAGTGGGAAAAGCCATAGGAAGCAAGCCCAGGCCCGGCTGCCAGGAGACACTCCGAGGTCAGGGCAGCGAATGAGCAGCTTCCTCTCCACAAGATGCTGTGCAGTGCTTCCCCCGCAAGTTCACAAAGCAAAAAATGATTGCAGGCAGGAAAAACATGACATTTAGTAACATAAATTGACAAGTTCTCAACAGGAACAAAACTATTTTTTCCACTTTGTTTCTTTAAATAAACAGTATTTGATTTTTAACATGCAAAAGACTGACAGCACACCAAGCATAAAATAGATTATGATCTCTGTAAACCAGGATGGCTGTTATCAGATTGGCACCAAACAAGGCCATTGTTGGAGCTAAAATTACCTCTCAGGTCTTGCAATACACTCCACCAAAGGACACTGTGTTCCAATGCAAAGAGACACTGCCTACACAGACATCCACTAGAGGGGCAGGAGACAAAGGTCTGGGAGAAGTGGAGACTGGATCCCTCAACAGGTTGATGGAGCCAGGTTGGCTCACTCTCAAGATCTGCACTCCAAACATGCAGCAAACATTCAGGAGAAAGAGAGAAATAGGGAGTATTTCTGACTATGCTAACAGAACTGATTGTTGACAGCCTCTGATGTCCAAAAAAGTCAACATTTTGTTTATCCATATCAAGTATGGCCTTAATGCAACAGGTAAACGAGCACCAGTGAAGATAGTACCCACTATCCCTCTGATTTTCACAGGACTAATTATTTTTCCTATTTAATTAGAAACCTGAAGGACAGGGAAAGTGGTTAGCACTTCCTGCATATCAATTACTTCTACAGTGGTTTTCCTCTTCTGCAGCACCATTCCTGACTTTTCCCATAGTTGTCAGAAAACTGTTTCTTTAGTACTTGTCTCACATACAAGTGTTTCGAAGGGCATGCATCTTCCCTGACACTTTCATTAATAGAATAATTTGACACATAATCATCAAGACGAGTCTGGAGGACCCAAGGTAAGTTGTAACACACAGGTCTGTAATGCCAAGAGAAAACCAAAAACTTAAACAATTTTCTTTCTGTGAGTTTACCTTTGAAAGAAGAATACCAGAAATTGTTTAGAACATTCTTTTTTAAAATGACACCTTAAAAGCATGTATCTTTGAAAAAAATCTAACATGACATGAAAACAAACTTATGACTCCCCAAGTATAACCTGAAAAAGAATTGCTGCTTATCCCACAGACTGATAGCTGGGCTCTGGAAGAAGTGGAAAATAACCCAGGAAAACCATCTCAAATATGGTTCACAATGCAGTACTGGCAAACTGTATTATACTAGCCATGTCTAGGCTGAGAGTCAACAGTGGACAGTGGACAGGACAGAGCTAGGATTGGTGATAAGGCAAAGCAAAGATAGGATGGAAAGAAGAAGATGAAGAAACCTGGAAATCAGAGTTTGCTGCTAAAGGGATGATTCTGCTGCAAGGATGTAAAGATGGGGGTGAGGGACTGCTGCCTGTGGGAATGGCATCTGTGGCTCACACATTCTAATAATTATAATCATTAATAACAAAAGGATTCCAGGCATAGATAAAATTTACTACACAAATCTTATGCACAACCAAGTGTGTGTTCCTTATGCAGGATCTTACGCATGCATTATGCCCTGCAGGGAGGCATAAGCAAACCCTTATAGACAGAAGGACTTTTCTCATGGCAATTTGCTAGGTAAGCACATTATTTGCAGCCTAAACGGTCATTATTCCTATTCCCAAAGACTAAACAATGGGGAAGGCAGAAAGGTTTGTAATGAGGTGGTCACTCACTGTACCTCTCGTTCATAACTTTTTTTAGGTTATGTCACACCACAACATCTAAGTATACAGTATTGTGGCACATTGTTTCTTAGTATCCATAGAGTTTTAGCAATACAGAACTAAATGAGGAATATGAATAAGTAGACTATTGCAGATACAAGTGTGTCTGCAACGGTGTCTTGCCATGTAGAAAGGAACTTGTTTTAATGATCAGAGTTTTTACTAAAATAACAGCTCACCAAAATAGCAGCAGTCATGCTCACAGAAGTCACTGATTTATTTTAATTGGCCTTGAGACCCTCATAGCATTAATTTTTCCATACATGAACTTCAAGATTTTACTCTCCAAGATTTAATTCTGCTATTGATAATTCCTTTATTACTGCAGTGCATCTTCAATCATTAAGTGTCTTAAACTTCTCTTTGTTTTGCTAAGGGTGGAAATCCAGTGAATGAGTTTTTATTTAAAGAGTGTGAGGGCGGTGAGTAGTGGAAGAGAAAGACAACTTCTTCCTGAAGACTAAGGAGGAGGATTAAACAGAAATTGCTCAGGAGAAAGTCAGACATTGACTCAGAGCAAATGAAGGGAGCAGAAGCAGGGCCTGGCACTGAAAATACTGTGTGATAATGGAAAACAACCTCAATTCCTATTACTCCCACCAGGCACTAAAGAAGGAAAATGATAGCAGCTCCTGCATCAACAGGGGCCCAGCTCAGGGGGCCATGGCCGTGCCAGGCTGTGGCAGACCAGCCCTGCCAGGGCACAGCTGGGGCACAACTGGGGCAGGGCTACCATGGGGCACTGGCGGTGCCCTGGGGAGCCCTGGCAGCCAGGTAGAAAGGAAGCACTGCCCTGCTGGGCCAGGAGCCAGGCCTGGCAGGGAGGGAAGGGCTACAAGATACTTCCCACCACCAACAATATGGACACAGCTCAAGATGCCACTTGGGCTCACGCAAGCACAATGCAGCCACACCTGTGGCCCACAAACAAACCAAGCTTGACATTCCTCCAACAAACACCAAAAAAATGGTGAAGTTGATTTGGTTTGGCTGTTTTTAAACAAAGTCCCTTGTACTTATTCCAATGTTAACAGACAACCTGTTCCCCATGCCCTGATCCAGCAAGGTCTGTCCCTAACATCAGTGGTCTCATCATTTTACAGAGCTACAAACGTGGCCACGTGTGCGCACACACACGGCATGCAGTGCATCAGCAAGACTGGGATATCAATACTATACTATGTAGTAATTTAAATGTGTAGTAAAATATGTCTTGCATATGCAATGAAACAATGTAGATGAAATACGCCTCCTTCCCTTCAAAGGTAACTATTTTTAATGACTAAGTTAAGATAACGCATTTAAAAGATGCAGCTTGCCGAATAAACTGAACATACTCAAGGACAGCTCAATTGTTTACCATTCAACACCTTTTCTCAGTTAACTGTAAGTCAAAGGACAAACTTTCTTGACTGCTAATGATGAGAAAAACTAACAACTGCTGTCCTGCCTAAAAACGTCCACTCCTCCAGCTGGCCAGACACCAAGCGGAAATTCCAGATCAGGAGGCAATTATTTATGTGTGTCTCCTTCCAACCACCCCCCTCTAAACCTTAAATTTGCTTCTAAGTGGGAATTAATCCTGCCTAGAACACTTTTAAACACTGCTGTATCTTTACAGGTCAGTGAAAGTTTTTGCTTCAGCTGCACTTGAGAAATTTTTGTCCATATTACTAGCAAATTTATTGTGCTTGAGAGAAATAATTCTTCAACTTTGGGGTGTATTTTTTTTAAATACACTATCACACTTATATCAGAAATTACATTTCTGCCTACTACAACCTGCTGTTGCAAGTTTTATTTAAAATTCTTTTGCATGTTAAAAGACTTTTTTTTAAATTCACAAGTACAGGAAAATGCCATTTTTACTTTAGGCTCTGTCTCAGTTCTCCAAGAGAAAAGGATCTCACTGACAAGCATTCACTATCTCATTTTCCCCCTACAGTCTTTGTGGATAAACAACACCACCACATAATCTACTGACTAGATCTTATACTTTTGGACTGAAATAAATGCTCCTTCTTGTGTACTGGATTGAGACTGAAAAAAATCTCCTTTTAATTTGTTTCCCTTGACGATGCAGAACAATTCTTCATTTCATGCAGAAAATGTTTCTCCAAGTTATCCAACTTCAGATCAAAGTATCACCTTTTCATACAGCTCCTGAGAAAGGCTACAGTATGTGCAGTAACATTTGAAACAAATGATACTTTCCCAACAGCGGGCATAGGCTTTAAAAATTTGGACGGGGGGCGCGCTTTAATTTGAAAATACCTCTTTTGGGCTGGTGGTTTTGCAAAAGGGAAGCATCTCTTAAGCCTTCAGGCATTCAAATGTAATTAAGTGATCTATATATAACATCAGGATGCTGTAAGTCACTACTATAATACTTAACTTTTGCAGTTGAATCCCTGAGGAGCTATAAAACACAAAATACAGACAACGAAACAAGCCTCTTCTAAAGCTTGCAGTATGTCTTACTTGCATGGAGTAAAGGTCCCAGAGGAATCCTTGAGCACAGAGGAAGACACAGTTCAGGCAGGCAGCTATTAAGTAAATCTAAATAATCAAGAGTGTGATCTGAGCTATAGATAACAGGTGAGCAGTGCCAGACTACTCTGAATTAGCATTTTTCAATGGGCAGGCTACAGAGAATGAAAGTTGCCCCCTGTGCTCAGCCCAACAAAGTAATGTAAATGTTTATAGGGCAAACACTAATGGATGAATGATTTCCTGAGGTTGTATGATCAAGTTGGACAAGACATGGCCCATCAAAAAGAGTTTGCCCAAAAGACAACAGGGTCAGATCCAGCAGCAGCTGTAGGGAGCTGATGGACACGAGGCAGGAGCTAACAGAGACACAAACTTCAAAATATCATTCTGGATCTAAAAAAGAAGCTCTTAGGGATGCCAAGGACAAGGCACGCTTTGTAGCTACCCAGTGACGCCAGTTACCTCAAATAACAAATTATTTCTATGAAAGAAAGCACACTTTTTTTCTGCTTCTTTAATTATCTGAAGCAAATGCGTGTGTATAGAGTCATAGATCTGGGATAATCCACAGACTGTGAGAATTGTAATTTTCCCAAGTTTCTATATGCTTTCACCACGGGCCAGGACCTGCGAGCAGATCCCGTCACTTTTTTTACAGACCACAGCTTTGCTCTATTACATGCAGAAATGTCACTGCAAATTTCATCCTCTTCCCTGAAATCATCCAGCCTAGTGAGCATGATTTGTGCCTCATTTTGTGTCTGCAGCTGGTAATTCTATTCAACCAACTCTGCTTGCTAGAAAAATTATCATGATAACCTGAACAGCTTTGTCTTGAAGCACCACTGCCATTCTTTTTTCTTCAGTGGGAAACAACTCGGTCGTGCTGCCACTTGCCACAACAGTGCTTCAGTGTTCAGCTGTCAGTTTATGAAAGCTAACAACAAGTGGGAAGCCTTCCTAGTTTTTCAAGATAGGACCTACTGTCTTAAGAGAAGTCAAAACCTAAAGCTAGTCAAAGAATTTATGGCAAATGGAACAAAATGGCAATAAATATTCAATTCAAAGATTCCCCTTCCACGAACTGAGTTAAGAGAGATTTAAATATACTCAGAATAAGGGCCCTACAGAGAGACTGCATTATGCACACGAGTTTTGAATGGAATGAAAGAAAAGCTAATAAATGGATAGTAATAAGCAAAAATGTGAAGATGAAACTAAAGAAAGCCTGAAAGGAGATTTTTGGAGAAAAAAAGGATGGCAAACTGTGTTTAAGTGTATTTTCATTTTTTGCCTAATCTCTGAAAATTAAATGTTTCATTAAAAAAAGCAGCAGATGCAGAAATGAAGCAGATATACAGACAAAGGCAGCAGATGCATAAAGGAGTTACTGATGACTTTTTCATCTATACTACAGCATTTGGTTCTCCTAAAAACAAACAAACAAAAAACCACTCACACTAACACAAGCATTTAGGACAAGAGATGTCTTTTGCCTTGTCAGGAATGACTTCTAATGCCCTTGGAAACCCGGCCTTGAGATAGCCCCTGATTGAGAGCAATATGCTTGGTTTTGTCACCCTGTCCTCTGGTAAAATAAGTCTCATGGAGCCAAGAACATAATGCTGAGTAATCAAAATGTTTAGGGCTTTTGTGTGCAGTCCTTTCCATGATGACCTACGCCTTTTGATTGTATCTATACATTCTGTTTATTCCTACGTCACTTTCTGATATGCCACAGGCTACCTCTTTCTCTTTCCGTGACTAGATATAACAAAAGCAGCTGCTGGAAGCCTATTATCTAATTATCTTGTTAGACCCTGCAAGGACTGGGGTACTCATATAAGCAGATCACAAATGTTTTAGCCTCTCAGACCACCATTTCTTATCTAGCACACAAAACACTGTTGTACATTCTCTAAATGTACTGGATGTTTAAATGAGCTGTCAGAAAAGCCTTTTCTTTGTCACTGTCATCACTCATGTGATGTGTTTTCAGCTAGCAGTATCTCCCAGTTTAGCAAGAGCTGTAGGATTAGAGTGCTTCACCAGATCATGGCCAGGACACAGCCCAGTACCTTAGCAGCTCTTCCAGGTGTCGTGACCTCTGATGACAACACTGAGATGGAAGCTGACGATGCCCAGTTCTACTGGGTGTCACTTGCTCCTCTGTTTTTAGCTGAGGTTCTTGCTCTGAGCCTCAAGAGGCAGAACACACCCGGATCACCATCAAATTGCTTCAGATTACTGACTATCTTGAAAGGCATATCTGAATTGTGTGACTGAACACACCCACCAGAATGCAAAAGAATGATAATGCACAGAAAAACTGCACCCAGCACACGGTTATGGTGCCCCTGCATGAATGGACAGAAAAGCGCTCCATGCAGAACAGTTGCCATTTGTAACAATGGTATTCTTATAATCACCCCAGGGATCTCCGTCCCTTAAGTACTGACAATACAGGTAAGCATGAATATAACATTGCAGTTTACAAACTCAGGGTCATTACTAGGCCGACCTGCTCTCCCATTGCTCTGCTAACTTCATCTTGCTTTGCCATGCTCATAGTCTATCAATTACTGAACTAGATGAAGCTGACCAATAATGTAAGGTAGTTGAAAAAAACAACAACTCTATCATCTCTAAACTCTGCTGAAGTGTCAGGTCCTGGACTCTTTTTAAAGCAAATCCAAAAGCAATTTGAAAATCTCTGAATGCATTCTGTCAGTTTTTAAAGCTCTAACCAAAAATTTATATTCACACTCCAGAAGGAAGAAATAAGGAACAGAAAATTCTGGGCTATTATTTTCTCCCTTCCATGTATTTCATCTACTTTCCAATGCACAAGAATAAGCTTCAACCTCTTAAAATTTATCTCTTCAACATATATATAAATGTTGAGTCAATTCTTAATTTTCAGGAATACTTGAAAAATAGTTGTGAAACACCCCAATACAGATTCTGATTTGAACAGATCTATGTTGTAGAAAACAATAAAATGACACTTTCTCATGAAACGGAGGCTATTTTTAACTACTGTGCTATATATAAGCGAACCTATATTTCAATGCAGCCTTTGTGTCCAGTCTGCCTGCTTGTAATAGGCTAGAAGAGAAGCACACAGTTGAAAGCATGATCCACTATGGCAAATCCTATCAACAGTCAATCTATTTCAACACCCAGCCTCTCATGTGACCCTGCAGAGGACATCAAAGTCTTTAGTCACCTCCCAGCTAGTTATGATCTACCAGGCTTGGGGTCTCAGAAAACACAGATTTTTTCTCAATCTCCCAGCACAACTACTTTATGCCCTGATTAAGTTTGTTCAGATTTTGATTTTTGCTACAATTACTTTAGCAAGCATAGTTCTTGATATGGTAAAAAATTACCTACTGCTAAGAAAAATAACAGAAATATTTGATTCCTTATCTTCCTTTGTAGCAGCAAGTACTGTAGTGGAAAAAAATACAATTAATTTTGTTGGCTACACTTTTGATAACCTAAAGGATTTTTAAGGCCTAGCAGGGAGGGTAAAGATTCCAATAAAGATATTAAATGTAAGTAGTGGCTGTTGATAGCTTCAAACTTTCTTGCTTATATTGCACTACTGTGCTAAATGGCTCTTCAGCTTCCAGGAAGGAAAAACCAGAATGAGAGAAATGTAAAGGTGTATGATATGGAAGATGGATTTGATAAAGAAATGCAATTTGATTCTGATTTTGCAGCTTTGAGAGTAGCTGTGGCCTTCAAATATGAATTCTGGGACAAATTACAGTTCAGGTAAATACACTGACAGAAATTCAGTGACAAAGATTTGATGCAGATCCTATGTTGAAAACACACGAGACTCCTTTGTGAAGTAAAGTAACAATGATATGCTTAGACACTTAATTAGCAAGGAAACATC